CACTCTCTGACTACTTTAAATATTCACTCTCTGACTAGTTTAAATATTCACTCTCTGACTATTTTAAATATTCACTCTCTGACTATTTCAAATTTTCACTCGACTATTTCAAATTTTCACCCTCTGACTACTTTAAATTTTCACTCTTATGACTTGTTAAGATTGTCACTCTCTGACTACTTTAAATATTCACTTTCTGACTAGTTTAGATTTACACCCTCTGACTAGTTTAAATATTCACTCTCTGACTAGTTTAAACAGCCTGACTTTGAAATCACTCTCCAATAGTGTTACTTAGTGACATGTTGAATTTGCAAACAAAAATGTTTGAATAAGTAGAAGTAAAATAAAATGGCCAATGATTTGCATGTTCCCCTGTATACATGTGAATTAATAGATACTTCACACAAATGTTTCTACTACAACTGGTACAATATGTGTGAGAAAATGTTATCTTGTTTTTTGATCAAAGAAAATAGCACAAGTCACCTACCTTGTCCCTTGAACAGATTTGAAGTTCACTATCAACCTCCAAGACTCTAGCAAACTTGATAAATCTCAGGTGATCAAAATTGTTTCGGATGCCAAGGTTGTGGCAGTCCCTGGCAAAGTAATCCCACTTGTCCGCATCAATACCATTCCGTTTGTTCGCAACAACCTGTAACATACCAACACCCAATGTAACATACCGACACCCATTGATTGTAACATACCGACACCCATTGTAACATACTGCCACCCATTGTAACATACCGACACCCATTGTAAAATACTGGCACCAAATGTAACATACCGACACCCATTGTAACATACCGACACCCATTGTAACATACTGACAACCAATGTACCATACTGACACCCAATGTAACATACTGACACCCAATGTACCATACTGACACCCAATATACCATACTGACACCCAATGTAACATACTGACACCCAATATACCATACTGACACCCAATGTAACATACTGACACCCAATATACCATACTGACACCCAATGTAACATACTGACACCCAATGCAAGATGTAAAATCAAGAAGAAGTTTCATGATATCTGACCAATAACCTTGATAGGTACATTCACTTGACCAGATCTAATAGCTGAACTAAGAAATAATTAAAATGTTTTACTTGATTTGACCATATGACCTGGGGAATAGGTCAAGGTCATTCATCTTTTAAATAGTATAGCCCTTCACCCAGCTTGCTTTTGGTCCAAGATGGTAACCGCTGGCCTTATGATTATTCCAAAGAAGTTGTTTCATGGGTTTAAAACAAACACGAAAGTCGAAGGTTACGCTATGAATTTCGCCACTTGCATCAAACGTTAACCAACTCTAATGCTAAGGTGATTACATAGGCCCTTCTATTTTTTTTAAACAGGTGAGCCCAAAAGAATTTAGCTGTACTTTTGTTTTTGGTTTGCGTGATGTCTGTTTAACTGTGTAAAACTGATTCATCTTACCTCATACAAAAAGCCTTTGCTTTTGTCACGTCCTTCAAATCGCCAGTTCTGTAAAATCACAAAGAGAATGTTGACATCCAGTCATAGCATCATAATTTAAATAGATAATCTTATGAAAGGCCTTCACACATGCTTGTTAAAGGATCCAATATACCCACTCTAGAACACAAGCATCCTAAACAAATATCTGGTATTTACGATTATTATACATTTGATACCTTTAGCTTTTAAAGGGGGACACGATAATTGATACAGAACGACAAAAATAATCTCACAAATTATTCATAGTAAGACCGAACTATAACGTGTTTATTCTAGTTACCCAGCAACCAATATCTAAGTAATAAAACCCAAGATGGCCACTAGCAGCGTATTAAACTGTGAATTACTGCAGGCCCATATCAACACTGACTTTGATATCTTCATTAAGGATTAAACCCCCTTGGGATGAACGTATGTTATCCAAGGTTTTTGAATAACGTAGAAAATTAATACACAGCATTTATGCCTAACACATGGGACTCTCTGATAAAAAGAACCATAATGTTAATGCTATGGAAAGTTACCACATCATATACACACAATTAAAGGTTTTGAAAAAAATGTGTTAAAATTCTGAAACATATTTTTTAAGTACCAGTAAAAAAGAACTTTTGTTGAAAAAATGCATTAGTAACAATACATTAATTACTTCAATTTAAAAAGATTTTATTAGAAACACTTCATCAGTATAAGCAAGAGGATCAAGATAATTAGATATATTACTATTGAATGGCATTGTTTACACAGCTTTCCAGATAGATTGTCTGAAAAATTTACCACAAAGCAATAAATGAAATGGGGTGTAATACCCCGGTACGGTAATAGGTTTTTAATACTGACCTGTCACAATACTCACCATCACACCAGCATGTATCAAATATTGGATAAGATTTTGATAAAATCACTTATCTATAATATATGCTTCAAACTGATTCCTCTGATTGGAGGAGAAAAAGACAAGGGACAAGTCGACAAATGTCTCAAACTTTTAACATTTTTATAATTTTGTCAGTTAATATTTACAGAGTTGATAACTGGAAATAACTGACCTGGTAATAGTTTGTAACACTTTTTCTATTCTTTAGAATTCTTTTGGTCTGTAAGAGATTGATCTGATTTATCTCAGACAATTGCCCGCACAAGCACAGAATTATTTCAGACAATGGCCTGCACAAGCATGGAAATATTTCAGACAATGGCCCGCACAAGCATTGAAATATGTGAGACAATGGCCCGCACAAGCACGGAATTATTTCTGACAATGGCCCGCACAAGCACGGAATTATTTCTGACAATGGCCTGCACAAGCATGGAATAGGTACGATATTCGTGATGATTTCAGTAACCCACGGTACTTATATAGGTGTTGAATGGGTGCAAAAATAAAACCCTAATTTCTGTCAGATCAGAAAGCCAGACAGCTTCACCCTTGTGAAAAATCATTTACCTCAGGTGAACAAAGAATCATGTTTCCCTGTAACAACAGCAATAAATATATATTTATAAAATTTGGATAAGACACAGTCCTCGGGACATATACTAGTATTTGACTTATCTGATGGTTTGACCCATGCTAAATTTACAAGTCCGAGGGAAACATTCGAGCCATCCGCTGTATTCGATTCATTTTTGACTGTATTTTGTACACGGTTATGTGATGTAAGGCCAATTATAGTCTGGTCAGTTAACTCAAAACTATATAAGTATGTCTAAAATATTTTTGATCAAACAAATTTTTAATGTTGTTATTATTTATATGTATACAAAACTAGCGTAGATTCCATGAAAAATTATGATTTCTCGGATCATAAAATAGATTCAGAAGAAGATAGCCTCATTAATTATACATATATATGTGGGTATCAATTTGGCAAAAGCCTGACACTTGCCATTATCTGGTTCAAATGGAACATTTTAAAGCCAGTAATTGCAAAGAAACCAATAAACAGTTCAAAAGACTTGCCAATATGCATGTGTGCCCTTCCCGGAATCTTAACACCCACCCCATCCATATATATGTGTGCCCTTCCTGGAATCCAATCCAGGGACCCCACCCCCACCCCCCACCCCCACTATCCGTATGTGTGTGTGCCCTTCCTGGAATCTTAACAACCCCCTCCACTATCCATATGTATGTGCACCCTTCCAGGAATCTTAACAACCCCCTCCCTTATCCATATGTGTGTATGCCCTTCCTGGAATCCCCCCCCATACTATCTGTATGTATGTGTGCTCTGCCAGGAATAAATGAAAAAAAAACTCCCCTATCCATATGTATGGGTGTCCTTCCTGGAATCCAAACACCCCCCTCCCTTATCCATATGTGTGTGTGCCCTTCCTGGAATCTTAACAACCCCCTCCACTACCTATATGTATGTGCGCCCTTCCAGGAATCTTAAGAACCCCCTCCCTTATCCATATGTGTGTGTGCCCTTCCTGGAATCTACACATCCCCCTTCCTTACCCATATGTATATGTGCCCTTCCTGGAATCTTAACAACCCCCTCCACTATCCATATGTATGTGTGTCCTTCCTAGAATCTAAACAACCCCCTCCACTATCCATATGTATGTGTGTCCTTCCTAGAATCTAAACAACCTCCTACCTTATCCATATGTATATGTGCCCTTCCTGGAATCTTAACAACCCCCTCCACTATCCATATGTATGTGTGTCCTTCCTAGAATCTAAACAACCCCCTACCCATCCATATGTATATGTGCCCTTCCTGGAATCTTAGCAACCCCCTCCACTATCCATATGTATGTGTGTCCTACCTAGAATCTAAACAACCCCCTTCCTTATCCATATGTATATGTGCTCTTCCAGGAATCTAAACAACCCCCTCCCTTGTCCATATGTATATGTGCCATTCCTGGAATAATGGAGCAGTATGCTCTTGATTGACATGTACAACTATACGTACAATGCTGCAAACCTGTTGAAATATTTGCAGAACCTTTAGATTTAGAGGATGGCAAAAATATAATGTACTCACCTCTTCGGACGGTCCTTTTATTTGCTCCTTGATGAAGATAAGATCCGTACCTGTGAGGCCATACTTATCAAATTCTGTATCCAGTCCATTCTTTTTCACCAGGTGATCAAACATGTCCACAGAGGCCTCCTCATGCTATAACAGAGGGTATCACAATTACCTTTATATAATTTCAAAGTTATAACAAAGTGATTGTTTGCTGTAAGAGAGCTGTACCACTTTTGATAGCTATAGACTGCTGTAGTAAGACTAGAGCTGTACCACTGATAGCTATAGATTGCTGTAGTAAGACTAGAGCTGTACCACTGATAGCTATAGACTGCTGTAGTAAGACTAGAGCTGTACCACTGATAGCTATAGATTGCTGTAGTAAGACTAGAGCTGTACCACTTTTGATAGTTATAGACTGCTGTAGTAAGACAAGAGCTGTACCACTGATAGCTATAGACTGCTGTAGTAAGACTAGAGCTGTACCACTGATAGCTATAGATTGCTGTAGTAATACTAGAGCTGTACCACTTTTGATAGTTATAGACTGCTGTAGTAAGACTAGAGCTGTACCATTTTTGATAGCTATAGACTGCTGAAGTAAGACTAGAGCTGTACCACTGATAGCTATAGATTGCTGTAGTAATACTAGAGCTGTACCACTTTTGATAGTTATAGACTGCTGTAGTAAGACTAGAGCTGTACCACTGATAGCTATAATTTGCCGTAGTAAGACTAGAGCTGTACCACTTTTGATAGCTATAGACTGCTGTAGTAAGACTAGAGCTGTACCACTGATAGCTATAGGTTGCCGTAGTAAGACTAGAGCTGTACCACTGATTGCTATAGATTGCTGTAGTAAGACCACAGATTGTATATGTAAATCAAGTTAACATTAATACCATGTTGATGTCATACCTTTTTGTAGCTGTACCACTGATAGCTATAGACTGCTGTAGTAAGACTAGGGCTGTACCACTGATAGCTATAGATTGCTGTAGTAAGACTAGAGCTGTACCATTTTTGATAGCTATAGACTGCTGTAGTAAGACTAGAGCTCTACCACTGATAGCTATAGACTGCTGTAGTAAGACCTGAGCTGTACCACTTTTAATAGCTATAGACTGCTGTAGTAAGACTAGAGCTCTACCACTGATAGCTATAGACTGCTGTAGTAAGACTAGAGCTCTACCACTGATAGCTATAGACTGCTGTAGTAAGACTAGGGCTGTACCACTGATAGCTATAGATTGCTGTAGTAAGACTAGAGCTGTACCATTTTTGATAGCTATAGACTGCTGAAGTAAGACTAGAGCTGTACCACTGATAGCTATAGACTGCTGCAGTAAGACTAGAGCTGTACCACTGATAGCTATAGGTTGCCGTAGTAAGACTAGAGCTGTACCACTGATTGCTATAGATTGCTGTAGTAAGACCACAGATTGTATATGTAAATCAAGTTAACATTAATACCATGTTGATGTCATACCTTTTTGTAGCTGTACCACTGATAGCTATAGACTGCTGTAGTAAGACTAGGGCTGTACCACTGATAGCTATAGATTGCTGTAGTAAGACTAGAGCTGTACCACTGATAGCTATAGATTGCCGTAGTAAGACTAGAGCTGTACCACTGATTGCTATAGATTGCTGTAGTAAGACCACAGATTGTATATGTAAATCAAGTTAACATTAATACCATGTTGATGTCATACCTTTTTGTATCAGGGCAAGATAAATGTCCAACCATCCATAGCCACTTAATTTAGTCTGTGGCCAATGTCTATTTGATATGCATGCATGCAATATCAGAAAGATCTGTCTAGTAATTCTTGAGAAATAGCATTAACAAAGTTAAACTGTCAAAATCTTGTTTTTTCAATCAGTTTCAATCTGAACTTTGAACCTGAAATATCGGGACCTTAAATTTCTTTCTGTGGCAGGTACTTTCTAAAACCTCAACTACTTACCTCCCAATTGACGCCAGGATTGGCCTGTGGGATGAACTTCCTGTCAAACAGGTGAGAAAATGGACCATGGCCTAAACAGAAACCATTGTAGGAAGACAAAAGACAAATATGTAATTTGTGGATCACTGCAATTACTTGGGAGTAGTGCTAGGTTTAACTGGAGAAGATTTGCTCCTCTAAAAAAAATATTCTTTACCGACATTTACCGGTGAGTAAAATATTATTTCCCCTGAAAAATATTCTATTCTGACATTTACCAGTATGAAGATTATTTCCCCTTACAAATATTCAATACTGACATTCACCGGTAAGTAGAAGTTTATATCCTCTTAAAATATTCTTTACTGATATTTACTGTTGAGTAAAAGATTATCTCCCCTTACAAATATTCTTTACTGACATTTACCTGTGAGTAGAAGATTATCTCCCCTTATAAATATTCTATTCTGACATTAACAAGTATGAAGATCATCTCCTCTTAAAAATATTCTATACTGACATTTACAAGTGAGTTTGAAGATTATCTCCACTTATAAATATTCTATACTGACATTTACAAGCAAGTTTGAAGATTATCTCCCCTTATAAATATTCTATATTGACATTTACCAGTGAGTTCGAAGGTTATCTCACCTTTTAAATATTTACCAGCGAGTTTGGAGATTATCTCCCCTTATAAATATTCTATACTGACATTTATTAGTATGAAGATTATCTCCCCTTATAAATATTCTATACTGACATTTACTAGTATGAAGATTATTTCCCCTTACAAATATTCAATACTGACATTCACCGGTAAGTAGAAGTTTATATCCTCTTAAAATATTCTATACTGATATTTACTGTTGAGTAAAAGATTATCTCCCCTTACAAATATTCTTTACTGACATTTACCTGTGAGTAGAAGATTATCTCCCCTTATAAATATTCTATTCTGACAATTACAAGCAAGTTTGAAGATTATCTCCCCTTATAAATATTCTATATTGACATTTACCAGTGAGTTCGAAGGTTATCTCACCTTTTAAATATTTACCAGCGAGTTTGGAGATTATCTCCCCTTATAAATATTCTATACTGACATTTATTAGTATGAAGATTATCTCCCCTTATAAATATTCTATACTGACATTTACTAGTATGAAGATTATCTCCCCTTATAAATATTCTATTCTGACATTTACCAGTGAGTTTGAAGATATCTCCCCTTATTAATATTATATACTGACATTTACTAGTATGAAGATTATCTCCTCTTATAAATATGCTCTACTGACATTTACCTGTGAGTATAAAGTTTGTCTCCCCTTATAAATAGTCTATGCCGACATTTTCTACTGAGTAGAAGATCTCCCCTTTTTCATCGGGATCACAGCTTATTACAACGGATGAGGTAGAGACCAGTGATTTCCATATAAAGGGAGGTAACCAGGTTAAATTATATATGGATCACAGCTAATTACCAAGGTCGTGGTAGAGACCAGTGATCTCCATATAAAGGGAGGTAACCAGGTTAAATTATATATGTATCACAGCTAATCACAAAGGTTGAGGTAGAGACCAGTGATCTCCATATTAAGGGAGATAACCAGGATAAATTATATATGGATCACAGCTAATCACAAAGGTTGAGGTAGAGACCAGTGATCTCTGCACAAAGGGAGGTAACCAGGTCAAACTAGATATGGATCACAGTTAATTACCAAGGTCGTGGTAAAGCCACAGAAAGGGAGGTAATCTATTCAAACTAGCTTATTACCGAGGTCATGGCATAGTCCAGCGATCTCCACACATAGAATGTCTTTGCTGGAGACATGGAGCTGTGGTTGTCTGTTTTTGATGGCCCGAACCAGTTCTCCTGCCAAATGACATACTCTGCAAGAAAGTAAGACTCATAGTAACATTTGGTTATAATCACCCAATGTATCGTTTTATTGCTTAAATGTAGCAGTGGCCATGCTTTACACTCTCTATCCTTGCCCAAGTAGAATGATATAGTGTAAATATGATTAAAGGTAAAAACAATTTCGACAATAGTTTAAGTTGTTGCCAGATAATGTTATCATTCCAACCTTACACTATGCTCAAAGTTTGGGGACAGTCCCTGTGAATATATTATACTCACCAAAGTGAGCTCTACTGAAAACTGCTGTGAACAGCTCCTGTGGATATATACTTAAAGAAATTTATATCCCCCGCTTTCAGGACATATTGTAGGTTAATATTATTTAGGTTAGGTTTAAACATGCGTGTATTGTGCTGTTGAGACATAATGCATAGCTTGAAACTCAAAGAAAAAAAAGCCTTATCTAATATTTGCTAGAGTTATTAAGCGGAAACTGCAGATAATGACTCTTAAACTGGTTGTAAAACTTGTTCGAGCCCTTAATGCGTTGAACCCTGTAAGTAAGTTTGAAGACAATCAGATAATATTTGCGAGAGTTAATGGTTATCGAACTCGGCCGAGCCATTAATGCATTTAACCCTGTGACCAAGTTTGAAGAAAATCGGTTTATATTTGTTGTTGTTATTCAAGGGGCCATTACTCCGCCAAATGGGGTCCGCTGAAAGTGGTCTTGAACTCGACAACAAACCCAAATTGACATCCCCCGTTTCTGTGAAAGTGGGGGATAAAAAGAAACACAATTTTGTACTTAAAGACCAAGTTCAGTGAAATTTGGTGGACATTCATGTGTAACATCGCCAAGGCAAGACAGATTGACATGTCACACCTCCGTAGCCATTTTTAAAAAGCGATGGAAATGGAGAACTATGTCACTGGCAATCATGGTCGCTTAGTGTGCTCGAGAACGGTAAGAAATTAGTTTCAACTGAAAGCCACAGTGTCCTTACGTTGGACCATAACTTAATCAAAATGATGTCAACGCCATCTGCAATAGTGCCGTGCACATGCTCCGAATGTGTATTGCTTGATGGGAGGCTTGTCCTGTTTACTGATGATTTTACACTTCTTCTCATCTGTTGACCAACAATATGTCTACTGACATTGCAATGATTGATATGCAAACGCGAAAATGGCAGATTTGGAGGGGAGTCTATTACAGTTTCGGGAAGCATTTGTAATAGTGTTAAAACCCCCTTAGTTGTCATCTTGGGCAATCTCACAGCCGTTATATAGCGGTATCAGGTCCTTCAGCCCCACATCAACCCATTCATCTGTCAGCAGAATCTTACCTTCCTGCAGAATAATGCCAGGCCACATGTTGTAAGGGTGTGTCGTACTTTTCAGAGTGTTTGATTTGTCCCCCACTGAACATTTTGTGGAACGAATTGGACAGGCAGGTTAGAAAATGCCAATAACAAAATAACAGTATTGCCCAATTGTAGCAGGCACTTCTGGAGGAATGGAAAAACATCCCAGCTCAAAGAATAAACAGACTGATGGGTTCTAAGGTGAGAAAGATACAGGGAGTGATCTTGGCCTGCAGAGGATACCCACCGTATTGAATAGACACTGCAATAGGACATGGGTGGCTATATTGTGACGTCATTCCTGACACTGTTGTTTGTGTTCCAACATATATTTTTAATTAGTCAGTAAGTATCCAGTCGACTGTTAAACTTAACTGTCATGAAATATCTTCAATAACCTTTACAAAATTTGCTACCAAAAACAAAATTGTGTTACTTTTTTCCATCATTATATTATACAACCCTAGACTTTACTAAAACCTGTTACCAACCCTAGGCTATGCTCGAATCTGTTGTGCGAAGCCCCTGGATAAACTAAGTAACAAGCCCCAAGCTGCTTGATAAATCGTAGCCTCTGGAAC